TTTATTTTTCTTTTTTTTTACGATTTATTGTTGAAAGAAAAAAGAAAAAAAAAATGTATATAGATAAATATAAGACACACACACACACACAAAAAAAAAAAAAAAAAAAAAAAAAAAAAAAAAAAAAAAAATTAGAATTTTAAATAATATTTTCCTTATCTAAAAATTATCATAAATGTTTCTAACATATTTTATGTACATCTATTAAGTAAAAAAGATGAAAGCATTAAGTAAAAATAGTATTAATGAAAATATTAAAAGTACAAATAATGAAAATGAATTGAATAATAAGAATACAATAAATAATTTTCTATTACATGTAAAAAACGGATTAACTCAATTAGAAAAAACATTAAGTGGTGAAGGATATGCATTTAGTAATTTAATTTGCAAAAATAAAAACATAGACAATATTCCTAAAGAAATTGAAAAATATAGACATTTGAAATATATAAATATGTCAAATAATAAAATTAGTGATATAAAAAATTTATGTTTATTACCTAATATAGTTTTTTTAGATATTTCTTTTAATGTAATAGAAAATTTAAAAGATTTTAAAAAAAACTGTTTAGAAAATTGCTTATATATAAATATTTCTCATAATTTAATTAAAAATATAGAAAAAATATGTTTGAAGAGCATAATTGAATTTGATTTATCATATAATAATATAAGCAATTTCAATATTTACTTTTCAAATACAATAAAAAAGTTAAATCTTTCAAACAATTATATTAAAAATTTAAGTTTTAAAAACAAATTAACTAATTTAGAATTTTTAGATTTATCATCTAATCCTCTTGAAAATTTAGATTTTTATGAAAACACACCAAATTTAAATTTTTTAAAAATAAATAATATTTCTACATTAGAAAAGGATAAATTGAAAAGTTTAAATAACTTTAAGTTTTTAGAATATCTAGATATGGATAATTATTTTTACTTTAAAGATATTTCATACAAAGAAATTAAAAAAATTATTATAACTAATACTAAAGATATTAATTTATTAAAATTTAATGGGAGAAGAATATTGAATAAAATATAAGAGATATGAAAACTAAAAGAGAAAAAAATAAAAATATAAAGATATACCCTTCAGAAATTTTTATTTAAGAAGATATTTAAAAAAATATATTTTTTCTTTCATCTTCTATTTTTTTTTTTTTTTTTTTTTTTTATCAAATTAGTATTCTAAATATATTTTTCTTATATAATACAACAAAAAACTTTTAACTCACCAAAAGAAAATTTATATTCAATAAATAATTTATATAAATTAGTGAAAAAAAAGAAAAAATTACTTTCATGTATACATTGAAATATTAATATTATAAAAGGAGATAATTTTTTTTTTCCCCTAATACTATAAAATTAATTTTAAAAGATATGTATATTCGTATATGAAGCAATTTTCTTGTCTCATAGAAATTTAATAAAAAAATAGGAAACAATTTTTATTATATAATAATTTGATGAAATTCTCTCTAGGAGTTATAAATAATGATTATATTTACAAAATAAATAAAAAGGTTTTATATAAACAATAAAATATGAAGAGGTTTATATTAACTGAAAATGAAATACGAAATTATTTTAAAATATTTTATTTTTTTTTAATAAATAATAACATTTATATATGTATTATTAATATATGTGAAAATTTTTTAATATTTTTAATTAATAGTTCTATTATATAGAAATCAGTGCAACTATAGATGAAAAATTTAATACAACCTCCTTTTTGTATTTGTTAACTTTCTCATTCTATTCAAAAAATAAAAAAAACTTTGGGATTAAAAAATAAAAATAAATAATGTAAAATTTTATATTACAAAAAAAAAAAAAAAATAAAAAAAATATTATCCATATTTATAACTTTAAATGAATTAATAGAATATATAACAGATGCTTTGTGTTATAAATATAAATTAATCTTTATGAAAAAATTTGAAAAAAAAAAATTTAAAATTACACTTATATTTTTAATTTATTTTTTTTGAAAAAATTTTATAAAAATATTTTAATTAAAACAAAGTTGTAAAATTTTTTTTTTTAATAATCTTTCACTTATAGAACATAAGGAAAAAAATGAAAACAATTTTACTTCTAAAAATATGTAAATATTATATTCTTTAAGAAAAAAGAATATATTATACAATTCAAATAGGAAAAAATATTATTAATTTTAATATTTAATTTATCCTTTAAATTATTTAAAATTTCTTATTTTTTTTTTTTTTGTATTTTTAAAATTTTATAAAATATATTTTTTTTTTTTTTTTTTTTTATGTTGTTTATCTAAATTGTATATTTCACTCAACAAAAAAAAAAAAAAAAAAAAAAAAAAAAAAAAAAAAAAAAAATACGTATAATAATTATTAGGATATACATTTATCAAAATATGCTAAAAATAAGATAAAATATATCTCAAATTTAAGCATTAATTAAAAAAATAATAAATTAAATTTACTTTATTTTTGTTTTTAAAAAATATGATTAATTATATACACACATTCGTTACACATAAAATATAGATATAAATTAAAAAAAAAAAAAAAAAAAATGCATGTAATTTCAATTTTCACTATATGCGTGTGTGAATATATTTTTTGTTTTTAGTTCACTTTTATTTATACTTATTTTTCAACTTAGATAAATAAAAATTTTGAATTTTTAAAAAAAAAAAAATTATACAATGAAGTAAAAATTTGTTTTGTTTTCAAATATAAAATAAAAAAATTAAAAAAAGAAAAAAAAAAAGGAAAAAAAAGAAAAAAACAAGATAAAAAGCAAAAAGAAGGAAAAAAAGAAAGAAAAGGAAATAAAAGAAATAGAAAAAGATAAGGAAAAAGGGGAAAAGGAAAAAGAAAAAAAAGAAAAATAAAACAAACAAAACAAACATAGAATAAAAAAATAAAAGGGAGAAAAAAAAATTAATTAATTTATACTAAAATTGATTTTATTTTTTTTTAAATTTTACTGTAAAAATTAAATTTATCAATGAAATTATATCTCCTTTATATAAGTATTTCACATTTTTATTTTTATTAACTTTTTTTTTCTTTTTTCTAATTATTTTTTATATGTATTGTTAAAATTTTTGTACACACTGATATATTTGATATTTTTTTCTGTCAATTTTATTCTTGTTTTTTTGTTTAATATATTTACTTTTTAACACATTTTAACATAATTTTTTTTTTTTTTTTTTTATGTAAATTCTTTCTGTTATTATCATTGTCTTTATTGTTTTTGTATTTATTTTTTTTCTTTTGTTTCATTTAGTTTATTTTTAAGAAGAAAAAATGATGAATGATGTGAGTTCCGATAAAACTAGAAACAATGATGATAGAAACTTTTCATACAACTCAGATGTAAACATGAAAGAAAATAATAGTAATATGATTTTAAATATGAATATATATAATAATACCTCAAATAGTTATAATGAAAAAAAAAAAAAAGATATAAATTCACTTAATATAACAAAAGTGAAATATCTAGATAACGAAACATGCGAAGATATTTATAACAAAAATGCAAATGAAAATAATATAGAAAATGATAAAATTGAAGTTAATACTAAAGGTAAATTTAATAATTTATTTTCATCACTTAATGAAAACATAGAAGATGACACCAAATGTAAAAATTTTTTAAATAGTAAAATTATAGATAACAATTATATTAATAATAATAATAATAATATTTCAGAAATTAAGAAAAATAATACATTAGATAATAAATATAATAATGAACATTATAAAACAATTTCTACAAAAGAAGAAATACATTGTATTTCTAGCCAAATGAAAAACAAAAATACTTTTAATCTAATGAATAATGAAATAAATAATAATTTAAAAAATACAAAAAGTGAGATAAAAGTTCCAGAATCTTCAAATATATATAATAAAAGTGTTACTAATGTTCTTACTAACAATGATAATAAAAACCAGAATTGTAAAGATACGAATAATAATAATATTAATAATATTGACAATCATCATTTTTTTAGCTTCAATAATGAAAATCCTAATTTGAATAGTAACACACCAAATATAGAAAAAGGAAATAATAAGGTAAATAATTCTTTAAATAATGAAAATCTTCAAAATAATAAAATATTTAATATAGATTTAAATGAAGAAAACTGTTATGATGACGTAAATGGCAATAAACTAAAAAACAAAAATGAAATTAGTTCAAAAAGTAATTCTTTAAATAACATAAATTCCGTAACTGATATAACAGAAGATTGTAAAAATACCATTAATTTAAGTGAATTTAATAAAACTTATTATGACAATAAAACTGAAAATGAATATAAATCAAGGAATAATTCTTTTACAACATCTAGTAAGTTAAGCAAATTACCAAATGAATTAATAACTAATAAAAGCAATGAAAATGAAAATGAAAATAAAGTTGATATAAATTCATTAAACACATATCCCTCTTCAAAAGAAGGTAAAAATGATGAGAGAGTTAATAAAAACAACATTGAGAATAACGAAAATTTTGATCAATGTAAAAATGAATTTGCTATTAATAAAGAAAAAGATAAAATATGTTTTTCTAATTATGAGAGTGATAAAATAAACTCAAAAAATATAACAAATTGTAAGAACGATAATAAAATAGATGTGGAATCTTATGAAGATTACAATTTTGATAGTAAACTATCCTATGATCATATAAAAGTAAAAAGCAATGAAAATTTTAATATGAATAAAAATAATAATAAATGTGATAATAAGGAATCAAATGAAGAAAATAATTCAAATATTGTTAAAAATTTTTGTAATCCTTATAATTTAAATAAAGAAAATAATTTAAATGGAGACATTAAATTAAATAAAGATAATAAATTAAACGAAGACAATAAATTAAATGAAGATAATAAAATTAACGAAGATAATAAATTAAAAGATGATATTCATTTAAATGAAGCTATTTATATAAATAAAAATAGCTCAAATAATAATGTTAGTAAGGAAAATAACATAAATAAAGATAAAAATATAAATGTAGATATACATTTAAATGAAGAAGGTAAATTAGTTGATTGTAAAAGTATAGATAAAGAAGACAAATTAAATAAAGAAAACATTTTAATCAAAAAAAATAATTTAAATAATGAAAATAATTTAAACATGGATAACAATTTCGTTGAAAAAAATTATATAAAAAATAGTAATAATAACAACAGTTCTGAGAATAATGTAAAGAATAATAATTTTTTAAATAGTTGTAACAAGAATGAAAGCATTAATTATAATATGAATATGAATGTTAATAATGAAGCAAGTATATATTATAATATAAGTAATGATAATGATAATAGAGAATTAAATACAAATAATAATACAACAACAACAACTACTACTACTACTACTACTAATGATAATCATAATAATACTATAACTACTACTAATAATAATAATAATAAGAATAATATTACTACTACTAGTAGTAGTAATAATGAGAATATTCATTTAGATAACATCACTAATGGTAATTTAAATTCATATGATTTGAATAATAATGTTTTAGATAATTATATTTCGAATAATTACAAATTAAATAACACCAACCTAGATAACTACAATCAAGTTATTGAAGATTCAGAAAATATAAATGAAGATAATAATGAAATAAAATATAATGATAAAATGGATAATAATATTACTAAAACAAAAGCAAATAATAATTTAAACAACAACATGAAAAATACTACATGTGATAATAATAATTATAATGAAGAAGAGATAAAAGATATCCCAAATTCAAATGAGGAAAATAAAAAATCTACAATGAACCAAGATAATGATTTTATTAATTTAAATTTATTAAAATTAGATGAAAATAGTGAATTAAAAATGAATATGAACAATAATGAAACGTTTAATTCACATTTATCAAATGATGAAAAAGGAAAATTTCTTTTTCAAAATAAAATTCCTTTTTCCCAAAATACGGATAATATTAATGATAATCATGATAATGTAAAGAATGATTTTAATGAAACTTTATATAGAAATGAAAATAACTTAACAAAAAACCTTACTTATAAAGATGATAATAATTTCAATGTTAATTCTAATAATAATAGCAACAATAATAATTCCAATATTAATAACAATATCAATAATAATGTTGAATATGATAATTACAATATGAATGATGGAATTAAAAAAAATACATTTTACAAAAATAACTATACAATAAAAAATGATGATTTAAATAATTTTAATAATACAAACTTGAATTTTACAAATTTGAATGAAAGCAATAATGATTCTTATTTAGGCATAAAAGAGGATAAAATAACTGGAAAAAATATAAGTAATGCAAATGAGTATAAACAAGAAAAATGCAATGATTTAAAAGAAAATAAAGAAATAAATATGAATACTACAGAAAATATAAAAATGAATTCAAAAGAAGGTGGTACTATGAGTGATATGAATGAGAATGATTATATTCCTATAGGAAATATGAACAATGAAAATAAAGAATTAGATTCTATAAAAAAAAAAAAATTAAAAAAACAAAAGTCAAATGAATATAAAAATGAGAAATTTAATAATGATATGAATAAAGGAGAAAATAAAATTATTGATATAAAAAATTGTAATAAAAGAAGAAGAAACAGTTTTTTAAATGATGAAAAAAAAAAGGAAAGAAAAATAGTTACGCCTAATAAAAGAATGAATGAATATAGCGATAATAATATAAACACCAATTATAAATATACAAATACTAATTGTTACATATCGACAAAAGAAAATAAATTAAAATTCAAAACTTATTTAAATAATATGGAAAATTCTAAGTTTAATAGAAAATTTGAAGATTTCAATATGAATTTAAATATTCCAATTAAGCAAAATGATGGTTTTTATAATACGAATGAAAACAATATGCTCATGAATTCATTAAGTAATAGATCTATTAATAGACCTTTTATAAAAAGTAATTTAAATGAAACATCTAAAATAGTCGATAATACAAGGTATTTAATTAATAATAATAATAATAATAATAATAATAATAATAATAATAATAATATAAATAATAATAATATAAATAATAATAATATAAATAATAATAATATACATAATAATAATATAAATAATAATAATATAAATAATAATAATATACATAATAATAATATTAATAATGATAATAATAATAATGATAATAATAATAATGATAATATTAATAATAATGATAATAATTATAATGATAATATTAATAATAATGATAATAATTATAATGATAATAATAATGATGATTGTGATAATAATAATAATTATAAAAATGCTAATATAAATAATAATTTGGATTATATGAATATAACGAAGAAAAACGCATATGAACCTTATGATGAATATCTAAACATAATAAAAAACAAAAGTAATAATGTTTCCAATGAGAATGATACATCTCAAGAAAATATAAAGACAAAAAAATATAATAAAGTGGATATAAATGATAAAAAAAAAAGCAAGAATGATAACGAAACATTATTACCAATAGCAAATATAAGTAGAATTATGAAAAGAATATTACCTATATCAGCAAAAGTAGCAAAAGAAAGTAAAGACATTATAAGAGAATGTGTAACGGAATTTATTCAGTTTTTAACTAGTGAAGTAAATAAATGAAAGAAAAAGAAAAAGAAAAAAAAAATAAATAATTTAATATTAATTTATATACATAATAAATTAAATTTAGTATATATAGAAAAAAAAAAAAAAAAAAAAAAATATATATTATTTTCTAAATAGGCAAGTGATAGATGTTTAAAGGAAAAAAGAAAAACAATTAATGGAGAAGATATTTTATTTTCTATGGAAAAATTAGGTAAAAAATTTTTTTTTCTTAAGTTATTTAAATTATTCATTCTTTTTATTGATAATTTTTAGAAATATATGTATAAATTTCTTTTTTTTTCTTTTTTTTTTTTTTTTTTTTATAAAGGATTCAATGACTATGTAGAACCCCTATCTGAATATTTAAACAAATGGAGACAAGTAAAAATAAAAAATATTTTAAAAAAAAAAAATGAAAATGAAAATGAAAATATTTAACTAATGAAAACTTTACATATTATACAGCTAAAAGGAATAAATAACTCAAATAACTATCAAGAAAAAAGATTTGAAAATTTTAAGAAATCCCAAGAGAAAAATAATTTTATAAATAACAGAAGAAACGAAATTAATATGAACAATAATAATACATTTATGAATATGAAGGGAGGAAATATTTATTCTAAAGATAATTATCAATTAATGAATAATGTTTATAATCAAAATGAAATGTATGACAATAACTTAAATATGTTATACTCAAATTCTAATGAAAGTGATTTTATTAACAGAATATAAATCGTTAGAAAAATATATATTTAATAATTTATTTTCACATTTATTTTTAAATTATTAAAAAAAAATATAGTAAAAATAATTGAAATGTATACTTTTATTTTGAAATTTATATCTAACATATTTTTATTATATGGCTAAAATTTTAATACATTTTTAAAAAAGCTTTTTTTTTTTTTTTTTTTTCTTTTTTTCTTTGAGTTTTTTATAATCATATATAATAAGCTATTTTATTTTACATTATCTTATTTTGATTTGACCTTATTTTTTTTTTTTTTTTATGTATTTTATTAAATTTTATTACTTTTTCTATATTTATAATTTTGAACTTTTTAATTTTATATATGCTTTTTTTTATATTATTTTTCACAATTTTTTTGATAATAGTAGCATAAACGAAAAACAATAATTTTATTAAAAAAAATTAGTTTTTTTGAGAGATTTTTTTTTAAGAATATAAAAGAATATGATAAAATAAGACAAGGTATATTAAGAAAATTAAAAAAAAACTTTTTTCAAAGTAGTATTCAAAAATATAATTTTAAACACAAATTAATGATGCATATAGTTATATATAACTTCAGTAAAAAAAAAAAAAAAAAAAAGGTTATAAAATTTATGAAAATATATATTAAAATAATAATATACAAATTATAAATTAATTGCTTCATGATTAATTTCTTTTTTATTTATTTTTTCATATAAATCAATTATATTTTTGTCTATGTTTTTGAAGTTATTACTTTCTTCTTTTAGATAATTTTGTTCTGAATGAAAAATATCGATATCATAAGATTCTCTAATTTGTTCATACGAATAATTAGTTATATTTAGAGTTTTTTGTCCATTTTTGATTATTATATTATATTTATTTTGGTAAATATTTTTCATAATTTTTGCTAATTTTTCTACTTTATTAAATAAAGAAATATTAAGGGAATTTAAGTCAACTATAATTTTTATTTTTTTATTTAATATTTTTATTTCTGTTTGCAATAATTTATCAATATCTGAATAAATAATTTTAATTTCATCTTTTCTCTTTAATAAGTTGTCATAAATAAAAGAATTACAATGTTTTAAAGATGAAAATGATTGAATAATCAGTTCGTTTTTCTCTTTGCTACTATTTAATTTAGCAGTCTTTTTTTTATTTTTTACATTTATATTATCATCATTTAATTCATCATTTAATTCATCATTTAATTCATCATGTTTATTTAGCATATTATTTTCTTTACCTTTTATAAAAATATCATCCTCATTTTTACTTAAAATAAATCTTTTATCTCCTTTTTCATTTAATTTACCTAATGATTGATAGAGTTTATTTGAATTATTGATGCCTATATCCTCAATTGTCGGTTTTTTAGGATTATTCTTATCTTCCATATAATTTTTTACATTTATATTATCTATTCCTTCTTTTGAATTTATAAGATCAATTAAAAATTTTTCATTATTAATTAAACGTTTTTTTTTTCTTTTTAAGATTTTTATAAGATAATTTTTATTTTGTTTCATTTCTTCTTTATTATTTTCTTCTGACTTAATGATCTTAATTAAATTGCTTATCATGGAATTCTTCTGTCTAGTTAATTCATTATATTTTTTTCTAATAATATGAGAAAATAAATTTAACATTTTATTCATCATAATATCACTTATATGATTTATATTTTTTATTTTATTTCTTTTTTTATTATATATGTTTTTATCAAAAGTATATAGAATGTTATTTTTATTTTCTTCAATTAAAAATTGAAAATTTTCAGAATTAGAATCAAAACTTTCATAAGAGCTGTCATTTGAAGAATTGCTTTGTAGGTTATCAGAATTAATAGAAGTTTTTTTTATAAAATTTTTTTTTATTTTTTGTTTAATCATTCTACATCTTTTTGCAAAAATTAAACTATTTATAAAATCGTCTATTTTATAACTATTTAAATTTAAACAAATTAAAATATAAGTGTATGAATTTCCATCTAAGCTATTCTAAAAAAAGAAAAGAAAAAAGAAACATCAACTATACCAATCTTCAGTTTTCAATTATAATATTAATAAATTATATAATACATATATATATATATATATATATATATATATATATATATATATATATATATATATATATATATATATAAATGATTTGTTTGAAAATCAGAAGATTACAAACTACAGTTTTATATTCGTATTAAATTAATTTTTTTTTTTTTTTTTTCAAAGAATACTTTTAGTAGTCTTGTTAATTTAGAATCTCTATATGGAACATGAACATTAGCCGAATAATCTATATTACTTTTTAATTTTTCATTTACATTTTTTTTCTCTAAATTTTTTATAAGTTTATTTTTAGTACTTAATGCCATTATAACTCTATTTAAGACAGACAAAGTGTTATTTATGTTTATTAGTTCCTTTTTATTAATCATTCTTAAAAGAAAAAAAAAAAAAAAAAAAAGAAGAAAAA